CGACACAGATACCGATACTAGTATCGGTGCATCCCTACTATATACTAGTCCAGCATGTAGACCTGCACCCCACTACCTGGCCTTCCATCAAGCCAGGCAAAGTGTTTTTTTGCTGCTGCAGTGCACGAGTATGACAACAAGTTCTAATGAGAGCAACTTTACGGTGGACCAAAGCTGTCCTGAATGATTCTTCTACACCACCGCAACACCCCTCTCTGCTCTCTGCAACCTAGATCTGTCTAAAGACAGAGACACTAATTGGTTGGCTGTTTGACAGCAGCTCAGCACACATGTGAGCAGCCCCTGTGGCTGTATTTATGTACAGGCAGCTGGAGGGAATCTGCAGCATCCAACAATAAACTATGACAACTTTTCTCAGCAGTTTGTGTTGTAGACAGCAGAGGGCATTGTAAATTAGCTTAGCTTTGTAACAAGGTTTGTGTTTGCTTTCAAAAAAATACTATCAACCAATGCAAACAAATTTCTAAATGAATTAAATATAGTGAAGTGTAAAGTGAATATAATATATACATACAATACGAGCCTAAAAATCTTTCACAAACAGAGTAAACCTTTCCAAATATTTTTGCAAAACATTTAGGGCCAATTCATACTGTTGCTTTTTATTGCACTAAAATGCACGTGTTCAACGTTCCCATAATAATAATAATAATAAACAATAATGTCTGTTCACATCCTGCTTTTAGTGGCTTGGTAGGCCAATAGAATCGATGGCAATGTGTTGGCAACAGGTATGAACAAACATATGTCAATGGCTGTTAAAGTGATATTAAAGTTAAAAGATTTTTAAGCTATTTCAAATGCTGATTAAATCACTTACAATTAGGGATGCAGTGATACCAATAGAGGACTACAAATCTCAGCACTATATTATACAGCAATGCAGAATACCACCAGCTATAGAGGACTACATATCCCAACAATACATTGTATACAGGTGAAACTCGAATAATTAGAATATTGTGCAAAAGTTCATTTATTTCACTAATGCAGCCGAATGGAAACCGGCAATAGAGGACTACAAATCTCAGTGCTATATTATACAGCAATGCAGAATGCCACCAGCTACAGAGGACTGCAAATCCCAGCAATATATTATAAAGCAATACCGAATGGAAACCGGCAATAGAGGACTACAAATCTCAGCACTACATTATACAGTAATGCAGAATGGAAACCGCCTATAGAGGACTGCAAATCCCAGCAATATATTATAAAGCAATGCCGAATGGAGACCGGCAATAGAGGACTACAAATCTCAGTACTATATTATACAGTAATGCAGAATACCACCAGCTATAGAGGACTGCAAATCCCAGCAATATATTATAAATCAATGCAGAATACCACCAGCTATAGAGGACTGCAAATCCCAGCAATATATTATAAAGCAATGCAGAATACCACCAGCTATAGAGGACTGCAAATCCCAGCAATATATTATAAAGCAATGCAGAATAATATGAAGTTACACCGAAACGTTGTTTGCTTCGTGATATTGTGAACACGTGTCAATAAAAAGACGTATTGCTTCACTGTTGGAGACAGTAAGGGAGCGACTCAGTTAGAAGGATTAGTATAAGTGTTACAGAGAGAATTAGTGTTAGGGTTTTAGGGAGAATTAGTGTTACAAGAAGGATCATTGGAAATGTTAGTGTTCTAGAAAGCACAAGTGTTAGGGTTTCAAGGAGAAATAGTGTTACAGGAAGAATTATGGAAACTGCTACAGGGAGAATTAGTGTTAGGATTTCATGGAGAATCAGTGTTACAGAAAGGATCAGTGTTACAGGAAGAATTAGTGTTAGCAGTTTAGGGAGAATTAGTGTTACAGGAAGGGTTACAGAAACTGCTACGGGGAGAATTAGTGTTAGGGTTTCAAGGAGAATTAATTTTACAGGAAAGGTTAGTATAATTATTAGTGTTACAGGAAGGTTAGTGTTAGGGTTCAAGAGAGAATCAGGGTTACAGGAAGGGTTAGTATAATTGTCAGTGTTACAGGAAGAATTGGGGTTACAGGAAGGGTTAGTGTCAGTGTTACAGGGAGCATTGGTGTTAGGGTTGAAGCGAGAATTAGAATTACAGGAAGGGTTAGTGTAATTGTTAGTGTACGTGCTACAAGGAGAATTAGTGCACTATTGTTTCCGATTGCACTGCACGGCATTCCTGTACCTTGCGTTCCGGTGGGGGTGATCGCACTGCAGGCAAGGGGCGTGCCTACAGTGCCATTGACATGAATGGGACTGCTACGCCCCTTCCTGCCCTATGCAATCCAGTGCGTTCCGGGTTCGGGCCGTGCCAGAACGCACCGGATTATGGTCTGACTAGGCCCTAATTCTCCCTGAAACCCTGTCACTAATTCTTCCTGTAACACCAACCCTTCCTGTACAACTAATCCTCTTGAAAAGTATAGAAGTAGTGGAAGGCATTAGGCTCTGAGGCAAAAATGACTAGTTTGCAGCAAAACTGTATTTGTAGCCTCTGCTCCCTCACTCACCATTGCTGGCTCCTATCTGATAGGAGTAGGGACGCTGGTGTTAATACTCCTGTCAGCCTATTGCTGCAATGGCTGGAGGTCTGGGAGTCAAACTGATGAGCCGGAATCTCAGAGAAGTACTGAAGAGTTCCAAGCTATGTTAAAGAGAAACTTTACCCTTATCTTTAAAATAACAACAAACACACCTTTACAAATGTTTCGTAATGACAATCTACAAACACATACTTCTAGATAATTGCCGGCTTTGTATTCTCTGCATACCTTATTTATCTTTTCTTCCCCAGTCTTCTCACAGTGGCCATGTTTACTAAGGGCAGATTACTAGCTCTCCTATTACTTCCTGGAACTCTGGCACATGTGACTAGGACTTGCAACCATGAACATCATCTCAGGGGAGGAAAATGCCTTTCCCTGAGATCTCATGAGATTACAGATGAGATTTCCCAGTAATGCTCTGCTGATGTAACCTTCCCAGGATGCAATGCTTGTGTACAATTACATCATTTGGGCCGGAACTGGACCAGGAAGTAGATGAACTCTATTTGTAAGTAAATGAAAAACAATCTTGTTTAACTAATGCATGTAAGATGCTTTTAAATCAACATGGAGAGTTGCATGGTGGTGTGATTTTTAGTAAAAGGGGGTAAAGGTCTGCTTATTGTCATGTAACTGTGCACAGCAATGTGCGATTATTTGTAATTTGTGTTGAGCCACTTACTAGGGGCTCAAACAATGTCTACTCCCCTTCCACAAACTGTAACTTGTCACCTGTGCCAGGTCCTATCCTTCTGGCCCTTTCCTCCGGTGTCATGATGAGTGAAGAGGTCAGTGAGCTAAAATGTTATGCTCACTGATCACCTTTTAGCTGTAAATGGCCCTTGCCCCTGATACCAGTCCTGAGAGCATGTGTTAGCTTTCATTGGGTCATAAGGTATGGGTAGTTATTGGCAGAAAGTTTCTGGACGAAAGAACGATGCCCTACCCTAGGACCCCTCTCACACCAACCCTCCTCCTAAACCCTAACACTGATTCTCATTGTAACACTGACCACTGGCCCTGATGAATGAATGCCACTAAAGTTCCACTCCTATCCCAAGGTATCCAATAATAATTTGCCCCTGAGATGAGGATGGGGGGCCAGTGGAAGCCGTCATTGATGCAGAGCGCCTGCAATTCTGCCATTGCTATTCTAAGGGCTTGTTCACACCAAGCGCAGAGCAGATCCGGACCAGAGCAGGTGCAGACCGGATCAAAACTGCGTCCAATGTATTCCTATGGTATTTTGACCTCCAGTTCACATCGCAGCGTGCGGATCCAGACCGGATTAAAAAAATGCGGCAAGCCCTATTTTACCTGCTCTGGATCTGGTCTGGAACGCATCAATAACGCATCTAAAACGCAAAAACGCATGCAAGTGCCTGAAAGTCCTTGTTAAACTTAAAAACTTTTTTTTTTTTTTTACCAAAACCGTCCCTAAACGCATCAAAAACGCGTCTAAAACGCGGCACAACCCACTACACTGCGTGTGCAGAAACCTGACCGGATCTGGTCTGCATTTGGTGTGAACAAGGCCTTAAGATGATGCCCCGCCATGTCACATAGTCACCTGTCCTGCTCCGTTTAGATTGGAGCTGAGAATCTTTAAAAAATCCACACTGTCCGGGTCCTCCCCCCACACATGTGCCCGAGCTATTCTCAATGCTATCGTCACCATTTTTATCATAGTCGTGATATCCCGTTTGTTTTTCTCACAATTGCCCCTTTGTTGCCCACTTATTGTCACAATTGCCCCTTTGTTGCCCTCTTATTGTCACAATCACCCATTTGTTGTCCGCTTATTGTCACAATCACCCATTTGTTGTCCGCTTATTGTCACAAGTACCCATTTGTTGCCCACTTATTGTCACAATTGTCAGTTTGTTGCCTGCTTATTGTCAAAATTGCCCACTTATTGTCATGATTGCCCTTCCGTTGCCCGCTTATTGTCACAAATGCCCATTTGTTGGCCACTTATTGTCACAATTGCCACTTTGTTCCTCATGTATTATTATTATTCCTCTAATATTGTCACAATTGCCCGTTTGTTGCCCACTCATAGCCATGTCCATTACAAACTATGTCTATTGCCTCTATTTCAGCGTGGCACACACCATGCTCTGCTATTGGCTGCTCCCCTCACCCCAATTTCAGGCTCCCCCACTTTGTAAAGTTTCCGGGAATGTCAATGACTGCCTAGTTGTTTACAATTGCTCAATGTAAAGCTCCAGAAATGGTTTTCTAATCTACTGTGTTCTGTGAATTGCTGTGAGTGGAGAAAGTTCTGCACACCCATCCAATGCTCCTCACACGCCCGCCTGATGACTATCCCGCCCTCCTGCCATGTGCCCACATGTCTGTCCTGCCACCTCCCGTGTCCCGGTCCCCCGCCTCTTTTCCCATGCCATCCCTTCCTGCCCATCCCAGCATCTCCTCCCTCCTCTCCCAGCCCCGCCCTCTCCTCCTCCTTCTCCTCCCCGCTCTGCACACAAGGAAGGAGCTACAGGACACACAGCCGCGTCTACCGTCTCCGCTCTCAGCCGGACACAGCCGCCCTCCTCCTCCCGACACCCAGCCGGAGCCATGAGCTGGGGCACGGAGCTATGGGTGAGTGTGGCTGCCGCTTCTCCACACCTAGGGGGGCGCCTTTGTTTCCTAGGAGGGGAGGGGGGAAAAGAGTACGGTGGTCCGGAATACTTACAAGTCACTGCTATGACCGGAGCTGCCGCCGGGCCGGACCGCCAGGTGTACTCACCTCACCATTGTACAGTGTGACCTGAACGCATGTCCGGTGTATACCGGGGACTCAACCGACCGCATTGTTCTGTTCATGTGTGCACAAGCCACTCAGAGCTGAGTAGCTCTTTATACACAAATATAGCTCTCACTGTGTATGTATGTGTGTGTGTGTATATATATATATATATCATACACACTTCTCTATATGTACATATCACTCTCTATAGACAAATATTTATCTCTGTTATACACACCTCTCTATAAGTGTACATACCTCTCTCTTCTCTTACTCTCTTTGTATACCGTATATGTGATGATTATTTGTCTGGCAGTGTGTAGTAGTGACACACCTCTGAGCACAGCCCGTACCATGCTCCTACTTCTTATACTGGGTCTGGGCAGTGATGGTTGTGGTGACAGTCAGAGGGCTGATTGTGTTTCATTGTGTGTCTGGTATCGGTGCAGGGAGGGTGTGCACATACAACCAGGTGAAGGGCAGCTTTTGTTTCCCTGCCTGTAAGCAGAGAGATCACACCCTTTCTTTCATCTCCTTCCTGGCTTCAGCCAAGGCACACTCTGTGCTCTCTAGCAGTCCCCATTTTCTGCTGGGTGCTTTGTTGATGTCATGGACACGGTAATTCTCCATGGGAAGAATATTCTGTTAGGTGTTGATCCGAACAGCTGAGACCACCCCCGCCCCCACCTCCTGTCCTTGCATTCTATTCTTCTCTCTTTTTGCCCTAGGTAACTCAGGATAGGCAAACAATACTGGGGAGACCACAAAACAAACTGCCTAATCATTTTGTAGCAGGCTTGCTTCCAGTCTCCTTGTTGATAATGGGAGATTCCTAGAATGAAACACGCCGACTTGTGTTGTGGAATATTGTTTAATTTGGTATTTGTGCGATTTTTCTAATGAAAACAGAGGAGCTGAAGGGCTGCACGTTCTACTTTAAAAGGAACCGTACCTAATTATAACCCCTCATTCAGGGCCTCAGTGTGCCAAATATATAAGGCGTTCTCAGGGGCTCGCTCTTGTCAATGATACTCAGCCATCAGATGCTGACTGCCTCAGTCACTTTCAGGGGCATTTAAATGCCAATCAAATCTCATTGTGCCCAGGCTGGTGTAATAAGGTTTGGCTTTGTAGAGGCAAGTCTTGTCTATATCAAAAACGTTGTCCTGAAAGTTTATCTGTAAGTGGAGAGTATATCAGTGACTGCACACTGGAAGTGTTCTACAGCTAGTGATTAGGTGGTGGTCATATGTCTGCAGATGGTTTAATGCAAACATAAGCATGCACTCACCATTTTGCCAAGCAGACCCCGAGAGTGTCACTCATCTTGGGACGTGTATGGGTCTTGTTGCACTAGTCTTTATTTGACATGGCTCTTAATAAATGAACACTTGGTTATCCTGAAAGGACTTTTGGCGTGCTGGTGACATTCTTACAAACGTCAAGTAGAAAGGTTCTTGTCGCACTCCTTACCGAAGATCCCATCTAATGGGAAGGGTGCTCGTAACGACTGCGGATGGCACCGTTGTATGCATAAGATACATTTGAAAGATGTCACCAGCACACCGAAGATCCTTTTTGCAATCACCAAATGCTCATTTTATTGAACAAGTTGTCAGAATGGATACACGCGCTTTCGGGACCTCGCAGTGTCCCTTCACAAGGCTTCAGCATTGACCTCGCAGGGTCCCTTCACAAGGATTCAGCATTGATGAAGGGACCCTGCGAGGTCCTGAAAGCGCTTGTATCCATTCTGACAACTTGTTCAATAAAATTAGCATTTGGTGATTGCAAAAAGGATCTTCGGTGTGCTGGTGACATCTTTCAAATGATTCTTACAATCGTGTCACTCATCTTGGGCACCAGTGGTCGCTTGGTCAGAATAATTCATTGCAGCCAATAGGATCTGTTGGCAGGAACATCTATCTGAGGGTCCCCGCAGATGTAGCAATTGCCCGATACTACAGAACTTGTCAGGATTGCTTAAAGTTCATCGAACGATAAGATGTCACCAGCACACCGAAGATCCTTTTTGCAATCACCAAATGCTCATTTTATTGAACAAGTTGTCAGAATGGATACACGCGCTTTCGGGACCTCGCAGTGTCCCTTCACAAGGCTTCAGCATTGACCTCGCAGGGTCCCTTCACAAGGATTCAGCATTGATGAAGGGACCCTGCGAGGTCCTGAAAGCGCTTGTATCCATTCTGACAACTTGTTCAATAAAATTAGCATTTGGTGATTGCAAAAAGGATCTTCGGTGTGCTGGTGACATCTTTCAAATGATTCTTACAATCGTGTCACTCATCTTGGGCACCAGTGGTCGCTTGGTCAGAATAATTCATTGCAGCCAATAGGATCTGTTGGCAGGAACATCTATCTGAGGGTCCCCGCAGATGTAGCAATTGCCCGATACTACAGAACTTGTCAGGATTGCTTAAAGTTCATCGAACGATTCACTATTTTTAGTAATGTAAAGTCTATATTCTGGGAAATATCCAGAAGGTTGCCTGAACCATTGAATTTAATATCTAAAGACCTTGGGCTACGTCGTCTATGTGTAGGATACAGTCAGAGCAGACACACACGTGGTGAAGGTCTGGGATGCTTCTAGGAAAAGAGGAAATGAATCCAAGACGCTGCTTGTTCGCTGAATATTAGTGGATCTTTGTAAAATGTTTGGCTTCGGTAAGATTTCAAGTTGCCAGCCGGCTGTGAGCATTTTATTGGATATCACTGTATTGATTTATACTGTTACCCAGGGGAATGGAGCATTTTAGAAGATGGACAGGCAAGCCTTGTCTATATTAAGGACATTTTTTCATCTGCAAGATGTCCTTTTGGCTGTAGGGTAGCATTCTATAGAAGCTTTACTTAATGGAATGAACTTCTACAGTTGACTGATAATTGCTGCCTCATGGACATTACTGGAAAACGCTCTGATCCAGTACTACGGGGAGTACTATTTGCAGCAGGTCCTCTTGCCTGATGGTCGTGAACTTGCTAGAAGAAAAGCATATGTCTGGCATTGCCTCCTGACCCATGTCAAAGCTGAAACTGAGTATAAACCCTTTTCAGTGGTCGGGGTTCCAGGAACAACCAGAGAACTCTGCCTTTTTCTTTACTGTTCACATTCTTATCTCTTTCTCTACGGATAAGTGGAACATTTCTCTTGTATCAGAGCAGAGCGGCATCAGTCACGCATTTCCAGTCTGGATTGTAAATTCATTGCCCCCAAAAATATCTGACCTAGGCAAGATTACAAGTAGAGATGAGTTAATATGTTACCTGTCGCCTGTAAATGACAGACCCTGCGGCTCCTGGGTCACATGGTTTGGAAGACATGGCAGCAGTGCACTAGAATACAATGCTGATGGAGTCTTTAATTAAGTGAATGAAGACTGTGCTGAGGCAAACATCAAGGATGTAGGGCTGCTACTGGTCAAGTAAACCAACATGCTGGTCATGTGATCTTGACTGAAGTGCTAGGGGATCTGTATTTTACAGTTGAGGGGGTATTTTTGGTTTTACACCTCTTGCTCACCTCCAAGAAGCTTTCATGTGTGATTTAAAGCAGCGTGGACATATTTGTAAGGAATTCGGGAGCCACTCTGTCCAATCCAGGAACCAGCAGTATTTTTATTTAGGAGACAGCTCCATTAACAACTAGAGAGAAACCTCAGAAGTTAGGTGCCAACTGTCATTTTTTTGGGTAAGCTTTATGGGGCATTGGTGACCTAGCTCCTGTGATTTTTTTTATATTTTTTCAGCCTCGGATTAAGGCATGCCTAACTCTACAGATGGTCTTGGACCTCAGAGGACCAAAATATGCATTCTTATAAGCCCCTCATTAGGTTTGGCTCACTTAAGTATGCAGTTTTATAGTTGTAGAGCTAGGAGTAGGGAGCACAGCCAAATCACATGAAGGAAAAAACATAGTAAAACGTACGTAGACATCATGATCGTATTACAGAGCTCATCAGACTCCTTCGGTATATTGTCTGGGATATGGGAAGCCCGTTCCTACCTACTAGGCAAGTGCTTTTGGTGTCCGCTTTGAATGTAGACCTGCGTGCTCAGAGGTACAAATGCGCATTCTCTTTTTGCTAGGAAGATGTGGGTTAAGCTAGAACTATCAACTTAGATGCCCATAGACGCAAGATGTTCATCAATTAATCAGTTTGATTGTGGTTGGATAGGTAAACAATTGTATGTCTGTGGGGAACCCTGATACTTTGGCAGATACCCCATGGCTGATTGACCTTGGGGAAGTTCAGTCCGAACTAAACGTTCCTGGCATATTACTGTTGTTCACCCAAGGTACGTTTGGTACCAGGTATGAGGACGTGGCCAAGTGTATCATGTCATGATTGTTCTACAGTCTGTGTAGCTTGTTAAACCCCAGCCACATTTTTGATATGTATTTTACAATAAGGTGGGTAAAGAGTAGAATCTGTCTAAGGTTTTTATTAATCTCCTGTAATGTCACTGGGAAGATTTCCTATTACTTTCTCTTCCCCAGACCCTGTGTCACTGGCATAGAAAGTTAGGGGAGCCCTTAATGGAGTCATAGCCATCAATAAAAACCTGACAGGGGATCTAACCCTTCCCCTAATCCAGGCGTAGGCCACCTTGGCTCTCCAGCTGTGCTGAAACTACAAATGTCATCATGCTTCTGCCTCTGGGAGTCATGCCTGTGGCTTGCAATGCCTTATGCGATTTGTAGTTTCAGCACAGCTGGAGAGCCAAGGTTGCCTACCCCTGCCCTAATCTATTCAAAGGAACAAAGTATTGTCTTTTACTAGCACACATTTTAAAGACTGACATTCAATTGTGCCATAATTAATTGTAT